CCATTTATGAGTGAATAAAAAGTTAACGTCGTTTTCGGGTCTAACATTAATTTTTTAGATAAAATTCATTTGAATTTTTTCAATAAAAATTATTGTGGGAATTTAATTTAATTTAATTCTAAATTCAAATTTTGGGTTCCTAAGTGGTTTCCTAAAGTTTGTAATTGTGGGAATTTAATTTAATTCTAAATTCAAATTTTGGGTTCCTAAGTGATTTCCTAAAATTTGTACCTTTTCCTTTATTTATTAAACTATTCGAATAGTATAATATATATATATATATTCAAATAGTTTAATATATATATATATATTCCTAATAGTTTAAATAATAAAGTTCAAACTGTTCTATGTGCAATGGCTACTTTTCAAATTGTTTGGAAAGAAAACTATTCCATGTGCAACAACAGAATGTGTTTGAAACAGATTGCATCTGTTCAAATTCAATTCACACCTGTTCACTTCCTCAAAGTACCTTTTCGAGTCAGATTTCTTGCCTATATATACCTACTATTCCAGCAGTGTTCACAACCGAAAATATTCAGTCTGAAATTTCTTTCTATTTGCTGTCCAAACTATTTTTGTTTGCATTTCTCTACATTCTAGTTTTAGAATTAAAATAAAGAGAGTATAAGAATACAAGGTTCTAGTTCGCCGCACAATTTTGTGTGGAGTGCTACTACAAGTTTGTGAAGATCATTGTATCTTGGGAAATAGACGCCACTCAACCATAAGCACCGTAGCGGGGCGAATCTGTCTTAAGGACAGAGTGTCACACACTCGACAATTATTGATTTGGTTCAACAAAATAATTTCTGTAAGTTTATTTTATTTTGTTTGAATTATTTTCAGTTTATTTTATATACACAGAAGATTGCTCCAACAGAGCTTACCAGTTGAAAACATGATTCACCATAGCTGATGTATTTTAAAAAGTTGCTGTCAAAAGTTTTTTATTTTCTATTTTTGCACTCGAGGCCTGCACTCTCATCTATATAACATTAATGCAAAATGGGGAACTACATGTTAAGCAAATAAAACTTGAAGGAAATAAACGAATTATACTTTAATGAATTAATTACATTTTCATTATTTAACTTTCCGGTCAGCTCAGATGTAATTTTCATTATATGTATTGAGGTCAACCAAAGGCCTTGCGCTGAATTGAAAAACAATATTTGCCAGATGAATAAAAATCATGTGGGATGCAAGTTGTGGGGATGTATTTTCTGGATACCAACACGTGGCATGGTGACGCCGACGTGTCAGCCGAGGTGCCACGTGCCCTGGTAGTTAAGCTCTTAGGGAGTTTTATCTTTATCTCTTGAAGAGTCCAGAGTAAACAGTAAATTGGAGTTCATAGAAGTCATACTTCTAGTGGGACTTGGATTGAGTATATTATAAAAGAGAGGCACCCCCGTGGGTCTAAGGTATGTAATTTATACTTTGAGTATTCAGTTTAGTACTTGATTATCTTTGAGAGATATACTGACTTGATCGTCGGAGTGTCCCCGGGTGGAAGAACCACCGCCAGAGCTTTTTCTTTCTGTTTCAGGTTGCTTAAGCCATCTATTCTGCTTGTGCTCTCCAGCTGATCACTAGACGGGCAGTGTGGTCAGATTTTCACTCACACACAAGTCCAACCCCAATCAACCCAAGCCAAATTCTGTAACTTCCAACAAAGCATATGAATAATAAAACCAGAAATAAGCTTTTGATTGGATCATCAAGAACCTTAATTTAAGCTTCCAACAACTGCATACAAAGCAGAAGAAGAATATTTGCAAAAGTTCTGTTCAAGATTTCTAGTATAACAGTAGTACCATTCGAAATTTCTTCTTCCACATCAATCCAAACTACAAATCTCTAATGACCTTGGTGAGAGAATGCAGCAAAGTTTCACCCATTAAAAATTTGTGCTCCCTCAACACAATAATCGCCCTAGGAGACCTGTAACTTATTAATTGTGTTGTGACAAATTATGGTGAAAAAAGTAATACATGAACAAGTTCGAACAACAGGTTGAGCTGAATACATAAAATTAATTATTGATAATAACTGCACAACTACTAGTCTTTTAGTGAAGAACGAAGGGAATGTACCAACCAAGTAGGTTACGAATTCATAGAAAATAACTACAAAAGAGTCCATTACATGATTATCAATTCTACAGTTCAACTTACAAGTATCCTACAGTCCTACTCACCATAGTAATCTACCTTCAATATGCCGTTTCTTTTCCCTGTCAGGCTGTCACCATAGAAGCATTACTGATGAACTAAGTTATTAGAGACAGGAAGTACAACGTAGAGAATATGGAGTGATCAATGTCAATACCTTTCCAATAGGTTGGGGACCTGTGAATTCGTAACCCTTGCCTTTTATTTTTGTCCATAAACTCATGGCATTGTTGCTGCACCAAAAGAATTCCCAATTTAACAATTAAAAAAAAAAAAAGGCATACAAGAACCGAATTGAAGCCCCAAGCCCCAATTCCATTACACCCAGAACCAGCCATTGGAAAGGGGTTTTCGAGCTAGCCCGGAACCAGCAGGTGTCGCGGATCTTGGAGGCGGAGGAGAAGATGAGGCCGGTGAGCTGCGGTGGCGATGTTCGACGGTGGAAGATTGATGGACACTGGTCGTGTGCGATATTGAGATGAGGGGCGGTGGTGATTGGTTCTCTGTGTGACATAGAGAGACAGAGGGATAGCAAGAGAGAGAAAGAACCGTGCGAAGAAGTAATAGATTTGGGCAAAAATTTAGGTGCTAATATGAAATATTTCCCTGAAAAAATTTGAACACATCCGCGACTAAATTTTAGTTGCTGAAGATAGGTTACCAAATATTAAAAAAAAAAAAAATTTGTTTGGCGACTAAAATAATTTTTTGTCGCTACAAGTAAATTTTTGGTGACTAAAACTTTAGTTGCCAAAGATAAAAAAATAATTTTTTTATTTTTCATTTGGCGACTAAATATTTTAGTAGCCAAAAATCAATATACAGCGACTAAATTTTTTTTGTCGCTGAAAGTAAGTTTTTGGAGACTAAAACTTTAGTCGCCAAAGAGGAAAAATAATTTTTTTATTTTTCATTCGGCGACTAAATATTTTAGTAGCCAAAAGTCAATATACGGCGACTATTTTTTTTTGTCGCTGAAAGTAAGATTTTGGCGACTAAAACTTTAGTTGCCAAAGAGAAAAATAATTTTTTTATTTCCCACTCGGCGACTAAATATCTTAGTAGCCAAAAGTCAATATACAGCGGCTAATTTTTTTTTTGTCACCAATTCTAACATTTTTAGCGACTAAATTTTTTTTAGTCGCCAATAATAAATATTCCCCGACTAAAAAAAATTAGTAGCTAAATATTTTTCTTTTGGCGACTAAATTTTTTTTAATCGCTAATTTTGATCGCCAAAAGTGCGTTTTGTTGTAGTGCCCGACTTAGCTGAGGTTGGTCCACATCTTGCTCACAATGTGCTAACTTGTTAGGTTATGTCTGGTGTTGATTATTCAAATTTGGTTTTAATTATTACATAAATATTACCACAAATTTAATCAAGATTTAAACAACTCAATAAAAAATTCTATTTAGTTAACACATAAATAAATTAAAAAAGCAGCTTCTTTTTTTTATCTTCAATGCCTAAAAGCTGATTATGATTTAATCATTTCATTATTTTAAAATTTAATTTTTTTTTCTCATATGGTTAAATAACCAAACCATATATTTCAAATTAAAAAGATTTTAATCACTTTGTTAAAAAAAAAAAAATTTAAATCAACCTAAGCAACCCAAACTATATCTTAAGGTCATGTTTGATTTACAAGATTAATAGTGAAATATTAATAATCCTATTAAATTAGTGTGGTATTTACTATCCAATTGGATTAATATCTAATAATCTCACCCCTACCACATTACTAATAATCCTACAAATTTATTGGATTAATTATCTATTGGATTAATAATCCTAAACCAAAATATTAAAACAAACATAAGATAATTAGGTCCACGGATTAATAATCTCTATTCCATCCTCTAATCTATCCAATCAAACATGCCCTAATTGTTCAATGGTTTACTCCTCCACCTCCTAGTCCTATTATTATCTTTTGTATTGCAAGTTTGGCAACCGAAATAGTGCCTATAATTTGGTAGCCAATTTATTAGTACCCGAAAAAATATATATATATATATATATGTATATATCTCACAAGTAAGAACGCGGTGTGTTTTTTGTGTCCTATTTATTTATTCCCCTTTTTGTGCACCTACCTCTTTCTCTACTTGCTGCGCACATAGAAGACCAAACACAGAAATTGTTTCATTGGATGACCAACCGGATGACCAGAAGACACCATGACAGCCACAGTCGACAAGTTCTGGCCGATCGACCGGATGCATAGTTTTTGTATTCAGATTTGTGTTCGGTCATCTATATGCCTAATTTTTTTATCTTTCTCTATAGGTAGAGCCCATTTTTGTTTGAGTCAAATTTCATTTTGTTATGATTTTCTTGCAATGATTTTGTCGTTACACATCAACAAATGACAGAATTTAACAATTCCAGTTAAAACTAAAGTCAAACGTAATTTTTCTCCAACTTCAAACATAAACCATTGAATTATCACAACGAAACCAATGCAGAGAGATATCAATTGCAGAGAATAGTTCAATCTACTATATTTTTATCAATGAAAGCTATTTTAACTTGCCATCGGGGTCTCTCTAATTTGATTATGTATTAGATTATACACAATTGGAGAAGCTAGACAAAATTTGCTTCTTGCCAAATTGAAGCTTACATGTACTTTGCAAAAAAATTATTTTCTTAACCAAAAGTGAAAGTGAATTGTTTCTTTTTCTTCTTTTTTTTCACCTTCAATACTCTGCTACATTTATAATGTAGTTTTTTTTTTTTAACTGTTCTTTTGGCGGCAAAAATAGCCAATTATAACCATGGGAAAATTGAAGATTCAAAAGTTATTAAGATTTGATTTAATTAAAGAACTTCAATCTCAGCTTCTGGGAGAACCAATCTGAGAAACCAGCCACCACAAAGCCCACAAACACCTGCCCAAAACCACCAAACCATAAGTATAAAACAAATGGGGAAAATGCGAAAAAAATATAGATTGAGATTTTTTTTTTGTCCCTAAATTTAAAAAAGGCACGAACCAAACCTAGCCTAAGCAAGAGGCTATGCAAGCAATGGTGAAGATTGTAATTCACCTGAGCTGAGCCAATTATGTAAATTGGTGAGTAGTGCTGCCCATGAACCACCATGTCTGCTAACATGGCAAGCGGTATGGTGAGCGACACGCCTAGCGCTGCCACCAGTGGGGTGGTCCATACAACACCCAAGGCCCTGCAAAAATAAAGCCAAGAAATAAATAAATAAACCTAAAAAATAAAATAACATAAAACAGAAAGTGGAAAGAGTAAATGTCATCCAAAACAACAAAATGTATTTCTCACCATAATATTTCACAAAGCGTGTACTTCTCAGCAATAAAATATACCTAGCGGACCTAACACCTCAAGCAATTCTCAAATTTGATTTATCACCAATTTTCTCTTTAATTTTTTACAAATTCAAAAAAAAAAAAAAAAAAAAAAAACTCTAATTCAAACATCAAATAATGCTTAGGTGACACTAGTTAACATTTGCATTTTTAATTATTTACAAATTTATACAAAAAAAATACCACTTACATGTGCATTAATTTTTTGTTTCTGATAGAAAAATGTTATTTACTAATATAATTTAATTAATAAAATGATTAAGAAATTTACGATAAATAAAATATGAAAGCAAATAAATTCACAAAGAGTAAGAAAAAGTTGGCTTGTGAGATTGAGAGACATGTAATCACTGCTCTAAAGCCGTTGTTCCTCCCCACGTAAAGGTACAACCGAAGTGCAACGACTCCAAGATACAACCCAAGCGCTCCCAGCCTTTCTCATCCAATGTTCACATCCATTACGAACTATAGTTGTCTAGAAATACATAAAATAGATAAAGTTACCCTTATATTAAAACTCAATATCTCATATATAAATGCCTTCTTATGTTTCTTGTGTGTGTCCTCCATCTATAGGAAACATAGGAATATATAGGTCAAAATCTTCTAAGAATTAACACAACAATTAATCATAATAATAATAATAATAATAATAATAATAATAATAATAATAATAATATCTTTGTAACCGAAATATTTAAAACTAATATAAATGTTAATAA